ACCAATGCCTTCGGAAGAAGATGGACGGACTGACAGTCGGCCGACTACGAGTCGGGCGACTGAAGGTCGACAAACGGAAGGAAGGCCGACTGAGCGGCGCGTTGAACCGGACAGCAGGCCGGAAGCAGAAGAGAGTTTGGCTGACGAGCCAACAACCCTCAGAGGGTCGTCTTCGGTGGAAGGCACTTCTGGGAAAACGCCACCAGCAAGCAGACCAAGTGGAGTGAAGACGCGCAGGGTGTATCCGACTGCCAGTCGGACAACTGCTAGTCGGCCGACTGCGAGTCGGTCAACAGAGAGTCGGCCGGATTCGCCGACTGCGAGACGGACAGGGCCGGCGACCAGTGTGCGGACGCCTTCCGCGCAGATCGCGCCGGAAGGGCAGGCAGCGGAAGCGGGCGGTGCAAAGGTGGCAAAAGTCACTGCGGCGTCGACCCCTTCAGAAACCGAAGATCGAGCCAGAACAGGGGCTCAAGCAGTGGGATCCCCCACTGCTTTGGATATTTTAGCAGGGAGTGGAGCGGCAGTCGCGGCGGAAGCTGCTGCGCGCCACAGTTCCAGGGAGTCGCCAAGGGATTCGGTGGCGACTGAAATCCTCGAAACGGAGGATGAGACGAGCTCGGAAGAGCAGGAAGCGGATTCTGTGCAGAAAACGCCAACAGGGGTGTTGTGCGAGCAGATAGTCCCACTCCTGCGATATCTGGATCGCAAGACATCCAAGTACTTGGGTACCGGAAAACCGCAGTCTTATGTGGAGACTGTCAAGCGCAGGACGAGGGGCAAGGTGGCCACTTGGGCCTCTAGGTGCCAAGTATTGCAGGATAGGAACACTACCTTCCGACAACACCTGGCGGTCACACAGAAGCTATACCAAACCTTGCAGCAGCAGAGGGAGGATGCGGCGACGAAAAGCCAGGCGGATGTCGAGCTAATGCGGGCAAAGATCGAGTCGGAATTGCAGGAAGAGCGGAGACAAAACCGCATCCTAGCAGCAGAGCTTGCGCGCCAGACGCGCGCCTTAGAAGAAAGTCAAAGAATACGCAAGGAGGATGAGGAGTTGTTGCGCAACTTGCAATCCGAGTGCTCGGATTTGCGGGCGCAGCGTGCGGAAGCGGAAATGCAGCTAGCAGAGGTGGAAGGCAGCTGCCGGGCGCGAGAAGAGTTGGCGACGTGGGTGACTCACTGTCTAAAAGGATACGCCCATTGGGAGGTGGCAGCTCAAGAGAGGATCACACTCAGGGAGTTTGAGCTTCGGGCGGCGGCATTGACGGAGGGTGACAGTCGGAGTCGGCGGCGAGTAGCGAGGAAATTAGAATCCTTCTTGTCGGGTGCGCGCGACACTATGGCGCACTTAGAGTCGGAAGTGACTGCAGCCCTCCGACGCCTGGGGTTGCGCAGCCGGTCGGAAGATTGGCAGGGTAGAGATAGCGAGTGAGGCAGTCCGGCGCGCAGGAGGCGCAGCACCGGATCTGCCGAGTGCAGTAGTATAGTTTGGTTTCGCGCAGGTGTTGCGAGTAGTAGATAGGATAGCGTAGTGTTAGTTAGGACCTTTGAGGGTATAAAGTAGATCAAGGCGTTTTGCCTTGGGACTCTTCCAGTTTCGGAAGTGCAGATCAGGAACTCACTTTCTTGGCGTGTTTGTGCATTTTGGTCATGGCACCACGTAGAGAAGCTGCAGCATAGCGAAGTTACCGTATGTTGTAGTTGAAGGCCTTCGGCTGAATGTTCAGAGCTAGCACCCGGTTAGAGACGTGAGTAGTGCGGATCTGCACCTGCGGGTGATTTCTGATGCTCAGAGCCGGCTGCGAGTTAGATACTTGAACAGTTCCCCCTTACTCCTTCGAGTGACATATCCTGATTGTACTCCTACGGGAAGTTTCCCCTGAATGCCAAAGTGAAGTTTTATTACTTCGTGTAAGCCTTGGTTTGCAATTCAGGTTGTGTGTGTGTTACTGGATCGTGTCTCAGTTAAGTTCTCAGTTGGGCCTGCACTCCCTGCGTTTGGTGTGAGTCGAGGGTGACGTCCACGGCGTATGAAGAGGCTTCGTTCCGAAGTGGGAAGTCCAGTCCGGGTACCCTACGCTAGTTCCTGGCGGAAGGGCAGTAAAAGCTGGAGTGGGAGGCACTACCTGCAGAACCTCTGAGTGAACTTTTGAGACACTTTCCCCCTGAAATCCGAAGCGGAGGTCCTGACCGACCTCAGAGTTGTGCTTTTGCCAGTTTCAGGTGTGTGTGTGTGTGTGTGTGTTGAGTGACTACGCTGTACTGTGCATCCTCCGAGCATCCTCCGAGTCGAGATCCTCCTCCGAGTCGAGATCCTCCTCCGAGTCGAGCCTCCGAGTCGAGCACTGCAGTATTTCTGGGAGTGACAGTCGCCTGAGAATTCAAACTCTACAAAAGTCTGTTAAACGTGACACTTTTACTCTGTGTGTTGCCTCTGTCCCTGTGGGTTCGATCTTTTTACCACCATACTGCAGTTTTAGCCTTTGGTGGGTTATTACATACTTTATATATTATACGACTTTAGCTAACAAAACCGTTCTCAAGGGACGTAAGATTTGGTTGAATCCTGATCTTACACCTCTACAAGTAGAGGCAAAGAGAAAGTAGCTTACCAAAGTCTATGAAGCTCAAGATGCAAAATTGCTTGACTCCGTGATGAACAAACAATTATTACTCAAGAAAAAAATACAATCATCAACATAGCAATCCAAGAGCTTGAGGGTGTTAATGTGAAATATAAGAGTATTTTCTACAATAAAGTATGTGAATGTTGATCCAATTTGAAAGATGACAGACATCATCAACATTGTGGAGACGTGGAAACATGAGAGCAACGCCATTTGAGAGATACTAGGATTTACTTTGATGGGATTCATTTGAAATCATAGAGGTCAACAAGCAGGAAGAGACTATGACGATATTGCTACTTTCATTAGGTCTCAATTTCTATCTTTGATACATCTAGAAGGTCAAGATATTGGAGTTCAATATTATTGGCTTCGTCTTGAATTAGCTGAGCATCTTATAGTTATTTGACTGTATGTTACTTTGCACCATTGTCCATTACTCTCTACTCCACTCACAGTTGCAATTGGAATCAACCGTGACATTGATTTATAGTACATGTTGTAAATTATAAGAGCAAAGATAAAGTTATTCTTGTTGGAGAATTCAATACAAGTAGCTCTTTAATCTAAGAATTGATATTCTAGAACCTCAGCTAAAATCAAACCATGCACCTCTCTTATTCACTCTCTTGTTGTAAAAAAAATCTCTTTCTTTACATGCCATTTAATTTTTTTCCTAAAATCTGTTGAGATCATAGTAAGAAAGATCTCTACATGCTACATTTTCAAGACATTTTGATCCATACTTTATGGAGCCTTGATCCACAAAAAGCGAGTTTGCAACTAAGAGAGTTACTCAAAAACACTACTTCTAAGTTTTTTGTGCGTCACAAGGATCGGAGAGCTAGAGATCTTCCTTGCAATGGATAGTTTGAGTTTGATTGCAAGCAAACGAGCATGAGATCAGTTGAAAAATCTTTGGATCTTCAAAGTTGATATATCTTGACAAAGCTCTACAAAGACTTGGTGAAGTTTAAGAAACAAACTTTTTGAGGACGAACCAAGAATCCTTGACAGAGGAGCAAATTGACATCTCAAATCTTTTTGAAAACGATTAGCAATTAAGTATTCAAAATCAATTCTTGATCCAAAGAGTTTGATTGACTTTGCTAAAAAAATTTATTTCTTTCATGACTTGGCATCAATGCCACATTGTGAAAGTTTACATGGTTTATTTATTGAATAAAAGTTGATGACTCAACTCAAAAAATTAACAAATGGTAAATTAGAGGATTTGGATGATCATGATGATAAAATTTTCAAGTGAGGAGGTGATGTTATTAGACCGATACTCACTAATGCGTTAAAGAATGCTCTTATATATGATTTTCTTTCAACTTGGTATTTACGGAAGATTGTTCCTACTCTTAAATCAAGAAAGAATGACTTGGTCACAAACTATTGTACTTTTATGATGGATAGTGATTTTGCCTTGTTGTTCGGCAAATTGGTGAAATCAAAGTTGAGCACATGGACTGAATCTCATCGAAAGAGAATGCGGTTCCAAGTAGTTTTTGTCCTACATACAACACTATTTAACATATTTTGGCCTTGCGTGTTTTATAGGAAAAATCTAAGGGTAATGCCGAAGTTTTGTTTGAGATTTCATCAATATTAAGAAAGCTTTTGACATTGTATCTCGTGAACTCGTATGGGAAAGTTGGGGAGTGCTTGAACTATTACCATTTACTATATATATTTTTCTTTTATTCATTTATCTATCTCTCTATATGGGTCAAGAATTGATATGCTGCTTTGATTTTACTTTGTCTAGAACCCCAAACACCTCTAATAATAAACAAGGTAGTGAAAACTTTTTTGAAAAAAAAGAAGATAAAACATTAAAAGATCTAATGAGCTAAATACATCAATTAGGAAAGATTCACAAATGAAAAACTATTAAACCAAAATCGAATAAATTTCTTATGGACTATTCATTTTCTATGATTGTCAAAACATGATAAGAAATATCTCAAGACAGCTCCCAAATCTTTCGCTGAAAAAAATTCCTCCTCGAAGACAGAGTTAATCTCCAAACATGGTTAAAAGACATGTTATCATATGAGCATGAGGAAGGAAAGGCAAGAAAGAGATCGTACAATACAACAATACAGAGAGACGACAGTTAATTCATTTTCTATTATCTTGAAATTGAGCTTAAGTAATCTCGTTGAACTGGCCCGGGGTGAGGACGTATAATCCTTAGGCAAGCATTAAATTTCCAAGCGAATGAAATGGTCTGCTTCAAGGTTACGACGGAGCAGAGCAAGGCAAAGTCCAACGCAACAGTCAACGGATCGATCGAGACAAAGTCAAGGCACCAGCACTTTTGGAAGGTGCGAACAGCAGTGCGCACCTTCCAAAAGTCAAGCGTGTTGATGTGTCTGACAAACCGTTGGGGCTCATCTTACAAATCTCTCAGTGGAAGAGAGGAGCATCACCTTAAAAGCACCGCCTCCTCATGATCCCAAGAGAGTCCAATTTCCAGCTGACAGTCGTTCAGGCTCCAAAGAACAAAGCATGAACCCAGCTCAGTCTTAAATCTCAACGCGAATGCAATGCTGTAAGTAGCTCAACTTCATTCGAGCGCAGCTCTCTGTTCGTGCCCACAAACCGCTGAAGTGCTTGCTCCCCTTCAATCGGAATGATATGCGTAAACCTTCTTTGGTGCACACTTCTCACGTGGTTCCGCAGATAGCCAGATGAGAGAGATTCTCTCGTCTGCTGGATAAATGTCTGTTCGGTTTTTGGGATCATGGCCAACTTCTCTGCCTCCGGTCAGTCAGTCGACGTAATTTGGGCTGGTTTTATTCGTAGTGGGTACGTTCGTGGGTCCTGGGTCCGCTCATATCCAGCGAGTGAGAAGCTGACGAGCTGCAGTAGCTGGCCCCTCTCCTTGTTTTCACCCGATAGCCCGCAACGAGTTTGACCCTTTTGTGATTCATGTCGTCCGGCATGGCTAGAGCTGACCACTTCTATGTGGCCGAATCTTGCGCAGCAAGCTCCTGCTTTTAGAAGATAATTAAAGTAAAGCGAATTGCATTTGGGAGTTGCTGCTGAGTGGCTGTATTGCTGGCCCTGGCCCTTGGTCCTTCTTACTCGGCTTCCGGGTCCTCTCTTTCTTCACTTTGACAATTGTTGTTGCTCATGTTAGATTGCTTTCTACAATTGCACTGTAACTTCTACGTGCATATCTTCTGCGTTGCAGACGTCAAATGTGAAGCGCCACGGAGGATGACCCAGAAGATTTATCGGCCCAAGAAGACGTGCGGTGATGAGATGAGTGAAACGTGAATTGCGAGAGAGATTAAGATCTGAAGGTTGAAGCAGTGACAGTCACGATATGTCAACTGGAAAACATCAGGCCATAAAAAATCACGAGGTTAGATTCTTTTGGATTAAATTTCTTTTTGGAATAGTTTATCGAGAGAGCAGTTACTTCTCTGGAATTAATTCCCTAGAAGCTGGGCTCGTCCTTGGGGCTAATAACTCCGATAATAATTCGAAATCGTTCCAAATTTAGCTCTATTGCGAATGCAAAGTAAGCGTCGGACTACTCGATCGTCGTTACGTTCCTTAGGGTTGAGTGTTGCATCGTGTGCCTCATGATTAAATGGGTCAATGTAACTTCTCAAGCTCGACACTGGGGAAAATATACCAGAGGCTGAGGAAGGAAGGAGTACATCACGGCACAATCTAGCACTTCAGACGAATATAAGATAGCATACCTGGCCTTGTACTTTGGGGGCCTCGCGCTTCAGTTCAAGGCATCGATCTCATGTTTTGGTCCATTGTGCCATTCGTTCGGTCTAACTCTGTCTGTGGTTCTGCCAAATGGATTGGATGCTTGTAGGTGGGAGCCATTCAGAGGGCTGAGCTTGTGGTACACGAAGAAGATTGAAGTCCTGTAAGATCATCTGAAAGCAGTTAGCTGAATGAGCTGAAAGAAGAACGAGCTGAGGGAGAAATCTGTTCATCGGTCTTGCCGTGGCCTTCTGCTCTGCTCTGCTCTCTGATGAGGCTTGGTGAATAGCCAATGACGAGTGGAGATCTGCTGCCACATACCTGTCCTGTAAAGACCGCAGTGTCGAAAGCTGGGGGTTGTTCAACACGAGCTTTGAGGATGGATGTGTGGGGGCTGCGGCTGCTGATGCTGATGCTTGCAGCTGGCTCTATTGTGGGCCACGGCACATGTGATGCTGTGCAAGAGCATGGAGGTGTCCGGACCTCAAATTCTATGGTATCAGCCATGTTTGTCTTCGGAGATTCGGTTGTGGACGCTGGCACCAACTCGTATTTTCCGAGCCTGCTGCAGGCCAATTACAAGCCTTATGGCGCCCAGTATTTTGGCAAGCCAACTGGACGATTCACCAACGGACGAACATTTGCAGACTTCTTTGCGGAGAAAATCGGTCTCCCTTTCGCAGAGCCGTATCTGAAGAGAAAAGGCAAATGGAGTATCATGCAAGGGGTGAACTATGCTTCTGCAGGGGGTGGGATTTTCCGAGTCACCAATCTTGAGTTTAAGGTGATACCTCTGTCTGATCAGATTCTTCAGTTTGCACAAACGAAGACTTCCATCGAGCAGACTCTCAAAAGCACAGCAGCTGCCAAAGAGCTGTTCTCGAAATCGTTGTTCTTGATAAACATTGGCACGAATGACCTCGTCACCTACCTCTTCAATCCATCCCTGCCGATCAGAGACTACTTGAGAAACTCGATGGATGCTCTCGAGGACGCAGTGAAGCAGCTGTACAATGCAGGAGGGCGGAAGTTCATGTTCCTGGACGTTGGGCCTATTGGATGTGTTCCTGCAATTGTGGCAAACGCTCGAGTAGAAGATGGCACGTGCCTCGAGTCTGTGAACGACCTGACCAAGAATTACAACACTGCTCTGGAGGAGTTGGTGCTTGAGAAGCTGCCAGGGACCTTCAAAGGCATCCATGTCATTATTGGCAAGCTATACGAGACTTTCGATGTCATGGTCAACAATGCATCAGCATATGGTTTCACAGAGGGAGTGACAGCATGCTGCGGATCAGGCTTGTATAATGCGGAGACTCAGTGTGGTCGGCCAGCCGATCTCATTACCAACCCTCCCTATAACCTGTGTGACAATGTGGACAAATACGTTTTCTGGGACTATTTCCACCCGAGTGAACGAGCTTATGGTATTGTGGCTGATAAACTCTGGAATGGTGATTTGGACGTCGTTGCTCCGATGAATCTGAACAACCTTGTAAATCTGCAGTAGCCTGCCCTCCCTCCACAGTATGTTAAGGTCGTGATAATAACATTAAATGGATAATAAAACGTGAAAGCAGTTTTGGCTTTTGTGAACACACGAAACGCCTGCCCAGCATTGCTCTTCCTCAAAATTCATTCATGGAAACCTAAAATGTTTAAGAGCTCTCTATGTGTATATGTACGATGCAGACTCCATCTTCTTCGCACTGTGGAATTCGATTACTTTATATTCTATTCACATAAACATGTTTTAATTACAGGAGTTGTTAACAGCCTTATCAAACGCCAGAGTTTCGACGTGTTAGCACTGTCCTAAACGCCTTCAGCCCTAACCAGCAACACCATCTGATAATTAGAGAACGTTAAAAGATCGAACTGTCGGTAGATGTTGCTTGTGAGAGACCTAAATCAACCGATAGGGCTGGTTATCAATGTAGCAATAGGTTGAAACAGCGACAAACAGTTAACATGACCTTTTACAAGAGAAAACTTCTCAAGTGGGAAAGGTAAAACATAACTAGAGCCGGAAAAATGTAGGCAACCAATGAATGATTATCACTTACAATTCGTCTCCATATCCAGATCTCCTCCACCAAGCTCACCTTGCTGCAGGGCAAGTCTTGCAGTGAGAAGCAACACAAATACATGTCATCCAGTTTAAGCCATCTGTATCCAACATATTAAGAGCATATACGGTGTTTCATCTTATGAGGTTTGCTTCGTTCTGTCTCCATCTTTCGAGGAAACGTATTGATCTAAGATGGAGACATAAAATATCCAACTTGTATTTGGTTGTTGCAAACATTATCGCAAATCATTGGTGAAATTTTTTTTGTCAAAACCCTGACGAAAACGTTTCAGACACAATCGGAAGTCCTTCAGCTACGGAAGATAACAAAGTTTGAATCGGACGACTCGAAAAAGTTGTGATAGTGATGATGCCTTTCAGCACAGCACCAGCACGTGACACAGTCGCAGTATTTATTTATAATGGCATTGTCAAATTCATATTGTACTGGTGATTTCATGCCCTTTCAGTCTACATTGCAATCCTAAAGCTCGATATACAGTCCAACCATGACCGTTCCTAAAGTGGTATTAATTCTCTACAAAAAAATAATTTTCACACGGACAGATTAAAATGCTGAACCGCTTCCCCTTGTTTGCCCTAGTAAGTGGTCTTTAGCTTCATTGATCTTAGCCGCCAAGTAGTCACTGCCACCAGCATCAGGATGATTTGCTGTCATCACTCGCCTGTGTGCCTCTTTTATTTTATCCTGAGCTACAGATTCCCTGCCATCGTCACAAAGAGCAAATAATGTAAGAATATGTGAAGCAATACGAGCCGTGAAATCGTCGTTGAGAGTGGAAGGATTCAGAACCATTGAAAATCATTATTGCAGAAGCTTTTTGAAACAGTAACTTTCGATTTTGACTTTGATTTCACGGAGTCTTGAAAACAAAGTCGATGCTCAAGTTGAAACAAGATGTAACTCTCGCTCGAGCATTAGCGCTGTCATTTAGGGGAAAAGGAAAAAAACTCGTGATCTGCCTCGTCTTCATTCAGGTTCTAATTCACAATTTGCTAGAGATTGTACCTGACACCAAGAATTAGAGCGGCCTCCCTGCGAGTCATCACGGGCTGAAAACCTCCTTCGTAAAATTTGCGTAGGCGAGGAGTGGCAGGTCGCAACTTGAATGCTTGATACGCCTCAATTCCATACTTGCCAGCCAACGCTGCGACGGCTACCGACAGTCCGGCGACCAAGGGAGAGGCCTGCGGCAAGGGAGAGTACCAAGAACGAAAATTCTCAAAGTTTATCCGAGGTGATGCTTAAAAAAATCCTACCAAGCTGCAAGTAACGGGAGCAAGGATCGAATGAATCTTCAGGCACGATCAAAGAACCAGCCAACCAAGAAGATGGGAATTCAGACCTAATTAACCGAGGGAATGATGAAACAAACCATTTCCGCTACTGGGGCTGCCAGGGCGACTAATTTTCGAACCCTGAAATCGAGCCTCAAGATAAAATTCCAACCGAAAACCCTGGATCCGAACACACCGAGAACGATCCTGTCCAACACCTCAACACGAACACACAGGGCAGCGCAGATGTCTCCGACCTCAAACTGCTTCTTCCACGAATTCCTCGCAGATTTCACCTCCGTGTCACGAACCGAATGCCCTGTACGAACCGATTTGAGCTTCTCGCGAAGACGACAGAGCCTCGAGCACTTTTCCAGTCCCGTCAGTAATCACCAGACGATTCGAGCGAGGCCTCGTTCGGAACATTCGAGGTCGTAGGACTGACTGGGACGAAATGGACGACAGGGTCCTCCATTTCCGTGCCCTCCGCGAGTTGGCGTTCCTTGCGTCATACGGTACGGTGGCGCGATCCGAACGAACGGACTATACGGTGCATCCGTCTTGGAAGATTCCTCCGTCGGAAGATCGCTAATCTCGGTGAACGGTGGCTAAGTTCTACCACTGCTTGCAGTATTTAGCGTCGGCATCAAAAGAAGGAAATGAAGCAAATAAGTGAAAGTAAGAAGACTTTTGTCTCACTACATATTCTTCAAAAGAATATTATAAAACCAGAAAATGCAGCTGCTTATAAATAGATGCACCAGGCAAGCATCAAGGTGGGAGGCTACATTAGCCTTAATAAGGAGATTTGGTAGAAGAGTCCTGACTTGAATAACGAGGATTGTCTATGTTTTCATTTTAATCATTGGATGGTCTATAACGCGATCTTAGAACTTGTAAAATGTGTTGTATCCACAATGAAGATTATGATAGGATTATTTTAAATGCAGTCACATGAACTATCTTATCTTTATCTATAGTCATATCACAAAATTTATTCATACCAAAAAATCGTCCGCATAGCGAACGTATCGGATATTGATATTGGCCGGATGGTAGATGTATCGCTGGATACCTTTGCGGGCAGCGGCTAAACGTCTCTGCGGGTTCTACAGCTGACCCTTCTCATCAGCTCTAACTCGTCTAACTTCTTTATTCTATTATGATTTATTATACATGCCCGAACGATCGTACTGTGCTGTAAGATTATGCAAGAAATGGTCATGTTTATGAATGTAAACGTTAAAGAAGAAAGTGGATAGAACGGACCTCTACGGGATGTGCTTAATCGGTCGATATATATATATATATTTTCTCATCCTGTTTGTTATATGTAATTTTGGGAAAGGTTTAAGAGGTTTCCACATTCTCTATCAAATCGTGATAATCTTTAGTATCTCAATCATATTAAGATTTATATTTTATTATGGATTTATAATGTTTATTTTTTTTTCAAAACTTATGTGAATGTTCAAAATATTTTTATTTCATTAGATGTAATTATTTAGAGTTAGCTAAAACTAGATTATTGATTAAAACAATAATTAATTTCAATCTGATTTGTTATAGAATATTTATTACTATCATACGAACATGTCATATGTGTGTTAGATACAAATAGAAAATTAATTGTCAACAATAATCTTTTTTAGTATATAAATAAAGAGGATGTCAATCATTATCTATCATGTTATCAATTCACTAATAATGATATAAAATTAAAATGATGAAAAGTTATAACATTATATATATGAGAAATATTTAAAATATGTGAAAATTGTGAAAACATGTGTTTCTTCATATCTCTCATCTTTAAAGTTTGCGTATTATTTTTCAAATGATATCTTCTATATTTTACTTGAGTTATATACAATGGACTAACAAATGATATTATAAACATACCTACAATTTTTCTATTATTTTGTTTATTATTACATGATATATTCATTACTACACCAAAGAGTTCATGTTGGATTTCATAGATTTGACAAATGTTTACCAAAATTCAAAAATTTTTAATTGAGGATTGAACGATTTTGCCAAAAATATACTATATAAAGTTTTTCAAATGAAAATTTGAATTAAGACACAAAACAAAATTGATATTTTTTGACTAAAACAAAATATCTTTATGAAGATGCTAGACAACTTAGTGAAATAGCACAAGCACTCCTTGATCATAACTATTTTGAACAAATATAATATCGAGTTTTTATTTAGATCACAATCATAAATTAAATAAAAAATTTCCTTCAATCTTTATAAATTATTTTTCAGAAAAAAAAACTATGGTTTAAAACATCAGGATTTTTTCAATTTCAATTAACTACTCAATCTCTCTAGATGTCAGTAATCGTATGTAGATAATTAATTATGGCGTAACATCATCGCCAAGATTTGTTGCAAGTAGATGCTTTTTTAAAAATTTCAACAAGTTGTTTGAAATGATTTCAAAAGATGAATTTAAAGTCATTCTGCGAGGAAGTAGATAAATGTGGATAAAAAATGGGTAAAAATAATATGATATGAATTAAGATAGATATAAATTTTTTTGCATATTAAAAAAAAACAAAAGCTCACGCGGATATACACACAAAATACCAACACAAACATACATTAATACTCCAACACAAAATACGTGAGAATCCACTTCCAGACTAGCTGTCGGGAACAATAAAAAGACTTCACTTATAAAAGATATCTAATATATTACAGTAGATCTTTGCTTAGCTCTACTTTATAATTTACAACAAAACCTAAACTCTAATTGTAAAATAAAAATTTGCCAAAATTAAAAAGACACGTAACCTCTAGGTTGATTCTCACTCTGATTTATGTCAAAAAGTTTTTTGATATTTTTTCATGATTTTAGAACATTGGAATCCTTCTATATGTTTGTAGTAACTCATGATAATTACAATCTAACTTACTTTAGTAGTAATGATTAATTTCCAATATTTGGCATCATTCCATTGGTTTATCCACACCTTCTAGAAGCTTCATTTTGCATAGATTGACGTGACAAAATATCATTGGAAATCTTGAAAATTATAGTATTTTCATTTATCACTAAGTTAAATTTTAGACTTAAGATAAGGAAAGAAAATTTTACCAATCAAAATTAACTTGTAATTTCAATAAAACCTTGATTTTGATATGAAACTATTAGTAATGTTCACTGATAACTTTTAAAAGTATCATAATTATTTTGCCAAGTATGGATTTGATAATAAAACTTAATCATGTACAAATTAATTATTACTAAGCTAACCATGATCAACTCTTTGATAAATTCTATGATCAATTTACACATACAACGGTAGATCTTACACACTTGAATTAATAATAACAATATCTTCTTTAATTCATGTAGTGAACATAATCTTCGTATTCCATTGTATTGTTTTGCGAGAAGATTCAAAATCGAATCTAACATTGATCATTCTTTGAAGTAAAGCTAATTGGAACTAAAACATGATAAAGTAAGAAAAAATATGTAAAAGAAAAGATATATAAAGTCATTATTTATGTAATTTGCCACTCTTGAGCTATGGTTTTATTTACTAATTGCAGTAAAACCATATAGTAGCAAAAACTTTAAACTTAATCATAACTAGGTACGTTATTCTGCGTACCTAGTTTCCGCTCCACAAGATATTTCAGCGTGATAGTCGAGAATAAATACACTATTTAAACAAGTCAAATTGAAAGTTGATGAAGTTAAAAAAAATTCAATTGAAACTTGATTTAAATCTAACATATGATATTTTTAAAACTAGAATAAACTAAATATAAAACCTAATCAAAAAATGATAGATTAAAAATATCTAAACATTGCAAATATTGCTACTAAGCTCTACTTATGAAAAATCTACATAGTAGCATAATGTGTCCTGAACCTTGCCATAGAAATAACTTTGATCAATATATTTGTTCAATTGAGTTTAATGTCAATCTTGACTAGCTCTTTTGTTTTATCAAAAACTTCATCTTTTTTGAAATGATATCTTATGTGAATGTGTTTGATTCTGCCGTACATCACTTGATTTGTACCAAGATGTAACGCATTTTGACTATCACAATGAAGATTGATATGCTATAATTTCAATCTCAACTTTGTGATTCGCCTATTTAACCGCATACTTTTCTTTGCTCCAGCTACTGTACTTACATATTCAGAGTATTTTGTAGACTAAACTACGCAGTTCCGCACAATGAATTCCAACTAATGCATCTACCACCAAATGTAAATACATTACAAATTCTAAATATACTCTCATTGAGATCTTGTTCATAGTCAACATCAACAAAAACTAGCAAAGATATGACATTTTTAACTATCAACTATCAACTATCAAACAATAAACCATAATCTTTTAAACTCTTCAAGTATCTAAGAATTCATTTCATTGCTTCTCGATTCATCTGTCTGAATTTGAGATGTATTGTTCAATTTGTTCAACATTAGAATAATATCATGTTTTGTGCATATCATCAAATGAATGAGCTTGCACACTACTTTGTTATAGGAAATTGATTACATCTTTCACTTCTCAAAGATATCAATTGGACATTAAGTTGCAAAGAGTTTGAAATGTGATGCCAAAGGATTTCATACTTCTTAGATATTGATATGTTATATGTATCAAACACATGTTGAACATACACATGTTCATTAATAAAATACTATGAAAATTCATCCCTAATATTTTATTGGATTTATCAAAATGATTCATCTTAAATGTAGATTTTAGCTAATTTTTGCAATTATCAACAGAAAATTGTCTCCGCAAAATCAACATATCATTAATGATCAAGATCTTATAAAGATAATAATGTTCATTTTATGAATTTTTAATGTACTAATAACAAGTAAAACTAATACAAATTCTCACTCTGAAATATACATTGTATTATGATAATTTTGTTAAAAGGTTCAATAAAATAATGTTATTATAAAACACATATTATAATTGATTTTATTCAATTTTTAAATGCATTGTAATGCAATAATTAGATTTTTGAAACAAAATGTTAAATTTTTTTGTGCATTTGTATAAATGGAATTTATTTTTGAAATTAAAATATTTTTTAAAATATAACTTGTAAAATGAAAGACTAAAGATTTCTTAAAATTTAGCCCGATTATTGGTTAATTTCAGCTAGTATAGGTAAAATTAGTTAGATCAGTTAGTTTGAAATTATATAAATAGCTGGTAGTAACTATTGACAACACAATTTAGTTTCTCAATGAATGAATCTTTTGTATTTCGGTGGTTTTGTGCGATTGAAGTGAATCATTTTCTCTTGTTCTGATATCTTGGATAATATATGTTGCTATGAATGTAGATCTTGACCTTAACTACCATGGGTTTCATGATAAGTTACAAATGCATGCTTCTAAAAAGTAGCAATTTAGAATCAATATATGCAAATTTAGATAAATCAGAATGACAAAACTCTATGCATGCCTACAAAAGAAGATGCAAAAGGTTGTTCTATTCAACCAAAGAGAACAAACTGTGTTGCTTTTGCTCTCGCTACATATTTTATGTTATGTTGTAAACTGAATTACATACTTGTGCAAAGTTAATCTTCTTATGCATATATCGCCAAGTATATGCATTGTACATTGTTGTAGATTTCTTCTTGATTCAATTTTTTCCCACAAATTTCCATTTCACTATAGTAGTCTCTCGACTAAGTACTCATCTTGATCTTGGTAAAATTGTGCGTACTTATTTGATAGGTGGGAGTAGCTGTGAGAACTGAAT